AAACCCCTACCACATTTTATTCTTCACAAAAAAAGTCGTAATAACTGAAAACCCTTCAGTCTGTGAGCAGCCCTCCTCCCCCTCTCCTCGTTTCCCCTGCATTCCTCTTCGAAGATGCCCCTTTATTCGTGGATTCGTTTGGAAAGATTACGACTCATATGCATGAACTACGGTTCTGCACTGATTAGTGGGAAAAACACGTAATGAGCGACAACTTAAATTTCAAAAAAATGAAAATCAGAGGGGTGTGAATGGAAAATGAAAATCGAGGGCCTTAAGCGATAAATGTGAATGGAGAAAGTGAAAATTAGTAAACTAATATGCAAAATAAGCAATTCTTACAGCTATTTAAGCTATTTTAAGCAAAAAAAAAAAAAGCCGAATTTCACGTAACTGGCAACATACCTCATGCTCCGCATTTGCACTGTTCGATTTGACGCTACGCTCAGATTTGCTGGCACCATGTGCACCTCTGCAACAACACTAATTACCAGGTCAATTCATCGATGGGCCTCCAAAAAGCAAAGAAAGAAGCGGCAAAAAAAGAGGTCAAACCTTTTTGATCGCGCTTTACTGCCGTTCTCCGATGAGGATCCATCATTTGAGGCTGCAATCGTGTCGCTCACAGCGCCAGCACCACCCCAGGCCATTTGTCGTGACGGCATTATTACTGATTCAGGCTTAAAATGTAAAATTTACTGAGACAAGATGTATTTATATTTGAGGCCAAATGCAAACTTTGGAAAAAAAAATAATTCCCACTATAATCGTACAATGGGAATAATCGTAATCGCGATCTTAATCGTAATCGTATAATGCAAAATTTGATCAATCGGGAACAAATCTGTTCATTTTCTGACGGTAAAATTAAGGAAATCTGAATCGGAAAATCAGGAAACAAAGGGAGATGTAAACTAATTTCACTGTTCTGCGGTCTTCTGCACTGCCTAATATGTTCAAAATGTTTTCCCCTGAATACACTAGTAACGTGTAATGCAGAGGCAGAAAATTAGGACGTAAAGTGATCTAAGATGTGAAACCTGAGAATTCTGTCGCCAAGTAAGCTTCTGGGAAGCGGCGCCCCAAACTCCAGCCCGGGCTACATCAGTTTGATCCCTCCA